TGTGAATGAGTGAGTACAACTACATACCCTGTGTTTATGGTTTGCCTATGGTGTGTGTGTGAGCACTCTGGTCTTTGTGGTGTATGTTGTGCAGGACGCAGCTGTAGTAAAACATTATTCCCTGTACACAATGACCTACATACAGGGGACCCCAATGGGCGTCAATACATTCTGGCCCCAGGTTTGTGGTGTTGTGTGTGTGCGTGCGTGCGTGTGTGTGTGTCGGTGCACTGTAAGAAATGTTGCATGTGTATCAGCTTGTCTTTGTGCATGCCCTCAGATGTTCTGCTGTGTGTTGGCAGCTGTGTGCCTCCCTTGAGTTTTTGAAGAAACTTGTTTGTTGTTTTGGCCTTCAGCTTTTTAAGTTCCTCTGCCAGTCCTTCAGTCTGTCAGTCGAATAAAAATAGACAAGCTACGAAAATATATCAACGCCTCCATGTTACTTAACCTCTTCTGAATTCATGTCATTTGATGTGTCACCTAATTGGTTTCCTCAACCATACCAGTGCCCCCATTTTAGGTTGTTACCTTACACTCTTATCGTTAGGGGAAGGGTGAGGATCCTACCCTCAATCCAACCTTTTTCCTATCGCAGTATATCTGTCCTATAAAGTCACCTCTACAATAATGTAATCTAAGAAGCTATTTAAAAGGGAACTGCATGACCTTTGACTTGTCAGGAAAGTCTGCAGCTGATTTAGGCTGCAAGAGGCGAAACAAGACTTTCTACAGATAACTGGGAGACTAAATGGATTTTTATATCCTATATATCAGTGGTTCTCAGTCTTGGTAATTCTGAACTAACTGCCCTGCATGTTTTAGATGTTTCTCTGGTGCTGCACGCCCGACTTAAACAATTTAATGATTAACAGGGTTCTGCAGCACTTTTTAATCATTAGGTGTTTTGTACTGGATAAATTTCTAAAACATTGGTTTGAGATCCAGGATTATGATCCAGTTTTTCACAGCTTTCGACTTACATTCTCTAACTGTGCAGAGGTAGTAGAAACATACCACAAAAACTTGACCATCCATGGATTTGGCATAGTTTTACTTAAGAAGTTACATCAGGAGCTGTAGCAGTGAGTAGCCTGGGACAGGACAAGACTACTCTACAAAGCACCATCCCAGAGGTTTAGGTTGAAGTTGGCTAGGATGGCTTCTGGGCGCTTCCCTGGTGAAGTGTTTCAGGTACGTCCCGCCTGTAGGAAACCCAGTGGAAGATCCAGGACACGCTGAACTGTTTCACAACTGGCCTGCGAACGCCTTGGGATTCCCTCAGAAGAGCTGGTCTCTGGAGAGGGAAGTGTGGGCTTCTCAGCACAGATTGGTTACTAGATCCAGGATTAGCCAAAAGATAATGGATGGATGGATGGAATGGATGGTGGTGAAAAATGTGCAACCAATTTGACCTTTTTCCAAAGTTGCTCACTTTGTAGAACACAGAAGGCAAAATTCAGACTTTCAGGACATAATTCCTATCAACACAGACTATTCGTTGCCTAGTCCTAAAAGGCCATTCTAATTGCCTTTGCTACTGCAAATTTAATTTGTAGCTATTGATTATATTGATATTGATGTAACGGCTTCTTACTTTCTGTCTTTTATATTCAGACTTTGTTAATGTCAACATGAAAGTGCTCTTACAAGAACTTCAAAGCTTATAATCACACTTCATTTGAATCGGTTATCAACCCCCTTGGGGGATATCTTGATTTGATGGATTCCAGTGACACACTGTGCATATATAAATGTAGTTAGTCAGAGAAAAAAAAACATCAGATGTGTTTGACTTTCCATAATTACCACGACTCCTTGGGGAGAGATTTAAATGCTGGTGATTACTTTGTTTGATTACTTATGCTGTGTGTGAATATATGCATAGTCTATATGTGTGTGTGTGTGCGTGTGTGTGTGTGTGTGTGTGTATGCCCTGAATGGGTAATCTTTTATGATGTTATTATGACATTAATGTCTGTTTCGTCCTGTACCACACTGCTTTATCCTTGTCCATATGCCCATCATTCACATTCTGACCTAAATCAGTTAAAGTTGACAGTGATGTACGAGAACATTAACAAGAAAACATCTAACCCAAATACAGAGCCGTCACAGACACCTACCTAGGAGAGTACTGGGCAAGTTTTGAAATCTTCATTATCAAAGCCCTCTGAAGTTGCTCCTCTGCCCCCCCGCAGGCAGGAATCGAAAAGCTTTCCTACAAGAAATGTTCACAACGATGGAGGTGATGTAAGCCTTCGCAGTGCAAGCCTGTCAGAGATATCTGTTTAGCGTGACTACACAACAGATAAAAATTTAATGACCTTTGCTTTAGAGATCGGCTCGGCCAGTTTCTCTTTCATCAGATCAACAACTTTTGATCCTTTCAGACAACTTTGTCTGATCTCAAACAGGTGCTGTTGCAGAAATGAACCGTGTTTTTCTCTCTCTCGTTCTCTCTCTCTCTCCTTGGATGGCACAAGTAGAGAATCAGAGTGGGTGGTGGGACATGTCTGCATAGAAATACCATAGCCCTTATTGACTGTGGTTGAGCTGCCTTTGAGCAATGCCATAAACTCTTTTGTCAACCAGTTCAGTTAGGCACAAGCAGAGGAACTACAATAAATCATAGTGGTGCAGGTGACTGTTTTAATGTTGAAATGAATTTAAACCAACAGAATCAAAAAAGGTGGGTCCACATGCTGGTGTTGGAGATTTAGGGCCTTTTCACATCTTTTCACAATTGGATTGGTGTCAGACTTCAGCTGCCTTTATTTTTGTCATTGGTAAAAGACTACAAACCATTTCTCCCTCTATCGCAAGACATGGATGTTTGTTCTGGTTATACTTACCCAGAATGCCATGTGCTATAGTCCACTTTCTGTTTGTGGAGTGGTCTCCAAGCCAAACTTGACTTCAACCAAACTGAGACCTAGGTTTTTTGGCAGGCCAGAGTTTGCTTTTTTGATCCACATCAAAGTTTGATTGTGCATTCAAATGTCCCCAAACAATAGGGGTTTTCTAAATAATACACGCAAGTCCAAATATAGCTACACTTAACAACACTTCAATCACACAACAGTTCTCACCATCAATGCACTTTTGGCATAATTCCGAACCACTATGTGTCACGGCATTTTTAGAGTTAATTTAAATTGGCTCAGATTTGACTTAGTCAAAGTCGGGGAACTTTCAGAGCCTTTATCTGTTCAAAAATGACTCTTAATATGTGTTTTAATGTTGAAAAACATAACTGTGTCCAACCTTTCAGATTGTAGTTGTTTATTTTAAGTGAAATTTAAAGCATTTGGTGTTTATCCTCTTTTTTTTAATCCTTGCATGTTTTACTTTGTGTCAGTATTGGCAAAATGATACTGCCACCACCATGCTAGACAATTGGTTCAGTTCTTTTGGATTGGAATGCATAACTTCAAGGGTTACTGTGGCCGCTGTGATCAAATGGCTCAATGTTAGTCTTGTCTGACCATAAAGGTGTCCTTCACATGACATGTTGGCTGCCAATTACAGTAGGTGAAGTGGGTCAAAGGTGTCAATTTTGGAGCACGGTCTTTTTTCTTCTGACTGAGTGAGAGGGTATGGAGCAAAACATTGGTGTGCCAACAGTTTTTAGTTTATAGCTAGAATACAGTCTGGTGGTTCCTTCGCTTACAGACCAATTTCTTTTCTTCAGAAGGTTGACATTTTGGGTCTAATGGTAAAATTTGGTATTTTGACGAGACAAAAATCCTAAACATCAGAAGTGGTTTTAACATGGACAAAATACTGTAAAGAAAATTTCTAGACTGCATGTCAAATTCAGGTCCACCCTTAGAAAGCAACCAGTTCACATAAACAAATTTACTGGAACTTTTTGATTACTAGTGGACAAGGTGCACCTCTCATCAAATATAAGCTGGGGTGAATGTACAGTTGAAACCAGAAGTTTATATACTTTGAATAAAGACACATACAACTTTTTTTCCACTGTTTGAATTGCAGTCAGACCAAACATCTCTTGTTTCTTGTCAGTTAGAATTACCAAAATAATTTATGTATGCATCTCTGTGAATCTTGAAGGATCTTGATCTCACCCTACCCTGTTTTTGTGTTTAGATCCGTGCTGGTGGATTCGAATACTCCCCAGGAACTCTTCACATCTACTCAGACAATCTCCTCACTCTTCCTGCCATCATTGGCATTGGAGGGGGCGGTGGGCTGCTCCTCTTGGTGATCATCGCTGTTTTGATAGCCTACAAGAGGAAGTCGAGAGACGCGGACCGCACCCTGAAGCGCCTCCAGCTCCAGATGGACAACCTGGAGTCACGAGTGGCCTTGGAGTGTAAAGAAGGTGGGTGCTCTTCGAGCAAAGCAAATTCATTGGCAGTGATGCTGATGTAAGTATTTAAGCCTTCCTTGTTGGTAGAATAGAACAGTTTTAAAGATATTTCTTTAAACATGACTTTCATACGGTTGATTTCCAGCTAAGCACGGCATTGTGTAGACAGAGACAGTTATAAAAGTGAATGAATCTGGAGAGAGGTGGAGATGCAATAAATTACTGTTGGACACTGTTATAATCACTACCAGCGTCTTTAGGGTAGTTAAAAACACAAACTGCCAATGTTGAGTTGTGGTGAATAAACCATTTAACTTGTGATTTTCTATAACATTTATAAAGCAGGAGTTTACAGTCACTTGAGTTTTAGACTAGCGGTGAGATTTGTTTAAGATTTTAATCAAGCTAATTGGACGGTCTGTAATTAATTAATCGAAATGAATCACATTTAATAAAATGAGCATCATTTTTTCATTCAAAAACCCTTTTTGCAGCTAAATTATTCTAAATTATGAAATGAATACACATATGTATTCATTTCATATGAATACATGTGTATTCACACATATGAATACATATGTATTCATATGAAATGAATACATATGTGTATTCATTTCATAATTTAGAATAATTATGAAATGAATACATTTCATAATGTATGAGCTCAACAACAAATATATTTATTGTTTTTAAATCTGTTAGGTTATTCAACAAGCATATTGGTGTAAAGTGATATTATGCAAATTCAGCTTTCCAGTGTTTTAGGAACCTCTGGTCATTCATGAAACTATTTTGAAAAAAGTCATTCTTTAGAAATATGGACTGTGGACGCTGATGTTAGTGTTGGGGTCGTCTGTGCTGCTGCTACATGTTTAGCATTAAAATCCTTTTTTAGGCTTGAATAGCTTTGGTGATAGGATAACTTGCACACAACAGTAGTCTTCTCTAACATTTCAGCAGATCATTTATGAAGCATAAATTAACTCCCAATGGGCCGATAGAAGAAGTGTTGTCGTCCATTGCTGTTGTGTTTGGATGTCGCTTGTGCGTCAGATTTATGGATGTACGAGAAACACGCAAACATATAAGTTCCAGCTCAGTTAAGTACTTTGGTATGTTAAAAATCTTTTTTTGATTAATTCTATTAAAATATTTAAAGCATTAAAAATCCATGCAATTAATTAAAAAAAATAATACATTAAAGTCTTGTCTCTTTAGACATATTACAATAATCTAGAAAAATTAATAACAAGCAGATGAAGTGGATTCCCATTGGATTTTACATTATGGTGAAACTGAAACTCATTCCTGGTAAATACATGTCAGTAGGAGCTCCAAATACCTAATATATTGTCATAAAAATTTGGCAATTGGAACATCATTTATAACATCAGTACATGAGGAAAAGTACTTTTTGGCTGTTTATCGAGAGATTTACAGAACACATGTAGCAGTCTGGTAGTGGGACTCAAAGACCTTTTGTTCAGAAAACATGCAGTTGTAAAATTATTATTAGTTTTTGAATTACCATACATATCAGCTGTGATCAACCCACATTTCATATGATTTCCACAGCACTCTCTGAGAGCTTTAGCATCTCTGCCGCTAAAATCAAAATAAAATTTGGGCATTGGGGGATGTGAAAGTCATTTCAGTGAACGGTCAGAATGTTTGTGAATTTTGCCTCACAGATCTAAGGGAAATTCTTACATCAGAAACATATCAAAAATGTCATACATACTTCAAAGACATCACAGGACTTGATGTTCCACAAAATCTCCTTCAGTTCCTCAAAATCTCCTTCAGTTCCTCATGTTGAGACCCACAGAAGATGCTTTTTATAAACACCATCCTTCCTGGAAAGACGGGGGGGGGAAGTCACAGCAGCTTTTTGATTAGACGCAAATGTTTCAGATCATCAAACTTATGTTTATATCAAAGATAACCAGAGTAAATTCACAAGGCAGCTTCAAATTACATTTTATTTTTAAAAGAGAAAGCCATCCAACCCAGCCTGGACCTGTGTCCAAAAGTAATTGACCCCTTAAGCTAATAACAAGTTCCTCCATGCTGCCACCAAGAGTTTTTTTTTTTTTTTTTTTTTTTTTTTTTTTTTTTTTTATGGGGCATTGTTTTTTTTTTTTTTTTTTGAACATTTAAAAGACGGGACACAGGGGGTGGAAGTT